ATTCTAAAATGTCGGTTATTATAGTTGCCTAGTAGGGAAAGTTAATAATAGAAATCTTGAGAGAAAGAATGGTTTTCCTTTCAATAAGGAAAACATACGGATGTGAACAAAGGACTTACGTTAATGAAGCATGGACAGACATTGCACATCGAATTAATCCGGAATGAATGATTCATGGGACCTCGATCTATGCGACCTAATGTTTGCTCTGCAGCCGTAAGAATGGAACAAGGGTCGTCGCCGAGACGGAATCGAAAATGTGGAGCAGTCTATGTTAATTAACGCAATCATCGATACACTTCTATACATTTTAACGCCAATACAAATAAATAATTGCAATGGTCGCGCATATTGCGCGAATATGTGTATGTGGCAACAGTCGATTGCCACATACACATATTCAAAGTATTCGGTCGCGTATACTTATATACTTTATGGCCACTATTATCGCGCGCAAATAAATATCGGCGTACTTCTTGCGCTCGTTATCACGCGCAAATAAATATCACTCGAGTCCTGTGCACTCGCGGCATTATCGGGCTCGTCCTGCGCGTCACAGATGCATTAATTATTTGAGGGTAGATTGCGCGAAATTAGGTATTACATTGCAGTTGCATTCTGCAATCTAATGTTTACACTTTTGCATTATTACGACGATTCCGCATTGTGATTATGCGAATGCTACTAGATACACATATCGATTATATAGATGATTAAAATCAAATGTAGGAAGAATTGTGTATAGATTGTCAAGCAAACTGCATAATTGTCATACATTAATGATAAAATAAAATTTATTTAATTTTATGCAATATAATAAAAAATTCTTTCTCTCTTTTCATCTTTTAAGTCAATTATTATTATGGATTTTGATTCTTTTCACGCTATGGATTCATTTTGGTTTATTATATCATTTTTTTGTAGATTGCAAATTAACTCTTTCGTACCTCTGGTTTTCCCAAAAAAGATGTGTTTCATATGAAGACAATTTTACAGATTTTTGGGGGTGCTAATTCCAAATTTACCAAATCAAAATTTAAATTCAAAATGGCAGATTCAAGATGACGACAATGGAAAGCTTAAATATCAATATATTTAAAATATAAGCTTTCATTTTATTTTGATTTTTTTTTTAATATATATTATGTTTTTTTCTGAATATACACACACATGTTCGACTCATAGCGTTGTTATACATTTTTTTTGCAAGCCGCGAGACTTGGATGCGTCGTCTTACTTTAATTACACGTATAAATTATTATAATATTTATCATAATAAAGTTATAATCACATCTAAATAAAATTTTAAGTTTATAATTAGCGCATAAATTTTATAATTTTTTTATTAATATGCTATTAATCTTCATCCTCTAAAAGTTTGATTTTTTCCAAAGTTTAGATATATTGTAAATATTACATTTCAAAGTGCGTGATTTTTTTACATATATCTTGAACCTTCTTCTTTAAGACAAGCCTAGATAGAAGTCGATAGGCTTATTTGTTTAAAAGTTATGAATTTTTTCGTAGATGGGACATATATGTCCCGGAGGTACGAAAGGGTTAAAATAACTACAATCAAACATAGAATCAATGGAATAATGAACAAAATAGTTAAAAAATTACATATTATTATATTTAAATATTAAAAACATTCATATATATATATATATACAGGGTCTACCAAAAGTGTGGAAACCCCTAAATATCTCGGAAAATATACGTTTTACAGAAAAGTGTTTCCAACAAAAGTTGTAGGGTTTAAGAAGATCTATATACTGATTCTATCAGTTTGACCTTGGATGGCGTCGTCAAGGTCAGGTCAAGGTCACATTGACTTTTTTAAATGACACCCCCTACATTTGATTGCATATTCTTATAGCTTAATTCAAGAGCTTTCCAAAACACTATAATAATGTTTATTTTTATTAAGTACTTTGCGAGTTATGAGGGTTGAAATAATTTCTTAATTTTACATAAACCATAAAATATCTAGTAAACCATTCATTTTTCGATTATCTTACCTTCATACTTTTATGTACAAATTAATGAGAGGAATCAATTGGTGTAAAGAAAACACATAGTTGTTTCTAAGAAAAAATATGTAATTTGCAATTAACAATTCCATATTTTTTCTTAAAAACAACTGTATGTTTTCTTTACACCAATTGATTCCTTTCATTATTTTGTACATAAAAGTATGAAGGTAAGATAATCGAAAAATGAATGGTTTACTAGATATTTTATGGTTTATGTAAAATTAAGAAATTATTTCAACCCTCATAACTCGCAAAGTACTTAATAAAAATAAACATTATTATAGTGTTTTGGAAAGCTCTTGAATTAAGCTATAAGAATATGCAATCAAATGTAGGGGGTGTCATTTAAAAAAGTCAATGTGACCTTGACCTGACCTTGACGACGCCATCCAAGGTCAAACTGATAGAATCAGTATATAGATCTTCTTAAACCCTACAACTTTTGTTGGAAACACTTTTCTGTAAAACGTATATTTTCCGAGATATTTAGGGGTTTCCACACTTTTGGTAGACCCTGTATATATATATATATATATATATATATATGAATGTTACATCTGCAGGAACGGGACGCAGAGACACAACACTATATATATATATATATACAGGGTGTCTGCTAAACATGCGGCAAAAATTCAGGGGGTGATTTATTGGGTTATTTTAAGACTTTTTTGTTATCTGATGATTTTCGAAAAAATGCTTTGTTTCGAAAATAAAAGCAATAAAAGTTTTTTTACCAATTTTTGTTTCTCGAAGACGTTGATGAATTCTTTCGAAGGTTTTTCTATCAGGAACATTACGGTTGGGAAATCATTCAATGTACAATCGCTTAGCCCGTAACGAATTTCCATCGGCAAGACCATACATGAAATGCATGTCAGTCATCTCAGCGTTCGTATAGCGATTCATGAACACTAACAAAAGTTTAACTATCAATGGCAAATAAACAAATTTTGTTATTGTTTTCAACATCTGCACTAGCTTGCTACGTTTATTTAGACTACGTTAATACTTGAAAAAAACTTGTATCGCCTGTTATCTATGGAATAAAAAATTGATCAAAAAACTTTTATTGCTTTTATTTTCGAAACAAAGCATTTTTTCGAAAATCATCAGATAACAAAAAAATCTTAAAATAACCCAATAAATCACCCCCTAAATTTTTGCCGCATGTTTAGCAGACACCCTGTATATATAGTGTTGTGTCCCTGCGTCCCGTTCCTGCAGATGTATTCACCACCCCGTTATATCTATTCGGACGCGTTTACAAATCGGTATAGTATTTTACGTTTTTATCCGTTGTTTGAGTGTATTGTGTTTTTATTAAAATTCCACATGATTCTTAAAAGTGTTGTTTAACGCGGTCCGTGAGTGCCGATCGATTGTATCGCGCGCGTTCGATATATATCGTTCCGCGGACAATATATTGCTATCTATAGAAACAATAAATAAAGTAATAAAGAAAATAAAATGACTATTACAGTATCCTTTTAGCTACTTATGACATTTTTATCTATCTTTATGTTCAGTATTTTGAAAGAACTTTGAAACTAGTTGTCAAAGCAATCGATCCGATTAACAGAAATATTGAATTCACACTATCAAATAAAGCAGAGTCTACATACACACACACACACACACACACACACACACACACACACACACACACACACACACACACACACACACATATATATACATATTAGACAGAAGGTAGGAAACGGGCTATAGTTTGACAAGGAGAAATTACGACTTTCGAAATTTCAAACTGCGCCACGCTTTCACGTCTAATTAAACTTTGACTTCTCTCGTTTATACGCCGTCAGAAGCTAGAAATAGCATGTTGCTAACCGTAATCGAATGCTTGTGCCCAGAACATCTCGCAATTCGATTTTGTAATAACATTATCTTCATCGCTAAAGGATTCAGACTTCTATTCGTGAGATATTTTAATAGTATAAGTTAGCTGTTCTTCGCCTCGAATGTTTCTTAAATTAATCTACCTATCTTTTTCTCAGAATACAATTTATTATATCAAACAATTAACAATAATAAAACTTGAAACTAATAATAATTTATTAGTGTCTGATTATTACTAATATCGCTTTGAGTTTGTAACGCAAATATAAAATGCGCTGTTAAACTAACATTTAATAATTTAACTAACATTTAATAATTTATTTAACACTTCAAATATTTTGCATAAAATTTATCACCAATAATTATATCACAATAATTATGTCATTGTTAATAAAATTATGACAACTATGTTCTCTTCGTATTATTTTTAACTTATAGTTTTCTTTATAAAATTGATTTTATATCTGTTGTGATTATCTAATATTGATATTTTATAATTTAAATAAATTAAATCGCAGATCATTTATTTTTTGAATCAAAATCAGAATTTATATCGTTTTGATCTGCAATGTTATAACAATCTTTTTTAAGAAACTTATTATATTTTCAAATAGAATTATATATAGAATATATATATGTATGTATGTATATGCATGTATATATATGTATGTGTGTGTGTGTGTGTATACTGTATAGAAAATATATAAAATATATAGATACATATTGTATAGAAAAAAATTCACAAAACTATTTTGCTAGTATTCTATTTGTGATAAACTCATACGGTTTCGAATCGTTTCCTTTACTTCAATATTGAGTAATCACTATATATATATAAACGCGGATTTTTCACAACAATGTCGCCGTAAAACTATCATCGATCGCATTCAAATCTCGTCAAAAAAATATTTGTTCAGTTACTAAAATAGTTTCACAGAAAGAAACAAATTGAAAAAGAGCAAAAAAAAATACAGTATGAAATTAATAAACCAATAAAATAAACAACATACTTATATAATTCTTTTTCTAAAATCTTAATAACGTAAATCATCAACAAGTTGAACATAAATTTTTATATATTATAATATCTTTTATAATATAAATTTAATTTAATAAGACAAATTTCTCTCGAATGTACGTCGCGCGTGTGATATGATTCCCATTAATTTAAATGCAAATATATTTATTTAAGAATTGCATTTAATTATGTTTTATTTCATATTTTGAATTTTCATCAAAAATGCAGATTATCACTAATAGATTTGTGTGTAAAACTCTTCACTGTATTTCTTCACTGTATTTCTTATTTAAAATAACTATTTCTTCCTTTTAATGATCAAGTATTATTTGACATAGCACATCTATATACCATTTGTTTTCTAATCTAATTTTTCTTAATTAATTTATAAAGAATTATATATATAATTAATATAAAGAGAATTATATCCTATTAAAAGATAGCATAAATTTAAAAAAGTCGCATCATATTAGTTCTTTAAATTATTTATAAAATTATTTATAATTATTTACATTATTATTCTAATCGTAAAAAAATAAATAAAATATTTTTTTCTTAAACGATTTGGCACTAATATTCTTCTACAAGACAGAAGGGCAGAGTAATTTTAGGGAACCGACAGCTTGCCTATTGAGAGAAATGAATGCACCTCTCAGAGATAGTATCATGATCAACACCGTAAGAATAAGTAGAACATCATCGGCGTATTCTATTTTTTCCAAATAGTATATCCATTTCTTTTTGTAACCGTAACACTGTGATACTATACCGATAACAAAACCGGCGATGCCCAGAAAATTGTGAAGGAACTTGATAACCACCGGCCGCACGAATTTGCGTAGTTTCCACGCGATCCACACTGGATATCCAAAAATCGTTACCGTGCACACGATTACCAGAGAAGCAATGCCCGTAATACCGTGGATCGAATTGAAGTGTACTGATTTGGCTTGGATCATCAGACTCACACCAACTAAATTGCAGATCAATCCAATGGCTTGCAGAATCCAATGGAGATGTTTGTTGGCGCGACGGGAGAGAGAACCAGTCAGAATATTATCACCCGTCAACACAACAATGGCCTCCGACATCAGTAGAATGTACTGAAAGAATAAGATCGATTCGTGAGCAAGCGCAGAAAAAAAGTTTGGATCGTTTGGCTAAGTCGTTAGTAGTTCTTTGGCTATCTCTCTTGGCCCAAACTCTCCTGATGAGGAAGGAACCGCGCTCGATACTACGGCAATTCTACGCCGGACGTTACACAACGGGGCAAGTGGATGTTGTAATTTGAGTTTCGAGAGTCGCTGAAACTCAATTACGACATGCACTATATAATATTTCTTACTGTTGCATACAATGTGATTAAAAACAAGTATGAGACATATCGATTTCTTCTATCACTTTCGATTAGGTCCGAGTATGCATAGCAACTGAATAGTTTTTATACAAATATTTCTATGGCAAGATTCCAATTCTTAAAATTTATTTTATAAAAACAAAAATAGAACTGTATATCATAAAAATAATTTATATGAGAATAAAATCCGATTCAAGATATAAAATTCTCAAAATATCTTCAATTCAATTTAATTAAAATAATTAACACATAAATACTTAATTTTTTTTAAATAAATTGATAAAGAATACAGCTCTATGTATTTAACAACATGATAATTAAGAAACGAGCAATAAGAGCCCAAAACGCAGATGGTAATGCGTAAATTTCATAAACATTAATTGTTCGCGAAAAAATTTTTTAAGACGTGCACAAGGCATTTATACATATATTTTACTTGGTGTATATGCCAAGTTATAGATTCTCGTGGTTTGAGAATTCTATAAAACCCTCTTTACCCCCCTGAAGAGATGTAGACAGGAAAAATATCGAGGCGAACATCTCTTCAGGGGGGGGGATAAAGAGGATTTTATAGAATTCTCAAACCACGAGAATCTATAACTTGGCATATACACCAAGTAAAATATATGTATAAATGCCTTGTGCACGTCTTAAAAAATTTTTTCGTGAACAATTAATGTTTATGAAATTTACGCATTACTATCTGCGTTTTGGGCTCTTATTGCTCGTTTCTTAATTATCATGTTGTTAATTTTTTTTCTTGTATAAAAGTCGTCTGTTTCATTGTTATAGGAATAAAGTTTTACAAGACCGTGAAATTTTGTTTTACGATATTTTACTTAAAATACGATGCGCTACAAAAAATAAAAATAAAAATAAAAACTAAAAATTCGTATATTGACTATGTATGCACATATATTAAAAGTTGAAAAATTTCTTGAATATTTATCAATGTAAAAGGAATAAAACAAATATGAAATTGAGAATAACTAACGCAGACTTTATCTCTGCGCAAAGTGAAAATATAACATTTTCGCATCAGAAAAAAGCAGATATTATTATATTCGAATGTATTTATTATTAAATTTATTAAAAAATATATAGAGAAAAATTAATTACATTTAATGTGTTGACGTGGTTTGCAAATGGATCATTTGATAGAGGAATGTATTTGTATATGCAAGGAATCCTTAGTTTAGACGGATCAAAATTAATGATCCATCCACGTTTAAGCTCCGCTTTGCAAGGATAAGCGGGTATAAGCAATTATCGTTGCAGTTGAAGCCCGAGCAAACCGGGACTTTGTTACAGGGAAAAGATAAGCGTTACGATTCATTACAAGTTCGGTCGTAAACTCGCATATTGATGCGACGAGTTCAAGGAAGAACGTAATTTCACATGATGGGCTTTTCTTAATGCAGCATCGCAAATATACATGTCAGAAGCATATCAATGAATTACTTAATAAATGAAAATGTCTTACAAACGCGAATAGAAAAAGCTTTTAAAAAAAGATTTACATAAAACTTTTATCTCTCTTTACAGCTATATATAGAAGATTTGAAGAGTAAATATGTATATATATGACATATGAATCATGCAACAAATTTCTTTTTTTTCTTTTTTTTAACGAATTTTCAAATGGTGCATTACGCTACTTAAATTATTCATCACAATCCATTTGAAAAATTTTAAGTGATTTTACATTTTTTATAAATTTTTTTTTATAAATGCGACTATAATTGCTATTATATCGTATAATAGGTGAAATTAAAAAGCATATTAATCTTGTAAGAGCAAATAAGAAAAGTACAGACAAAACACGACATTTTTTAAACTGAATATACGCACTTTTGTTAATAGATGTTTTCGATATTGTAATAAACAGTGAAATTAATTATTGCTATGATTTGTGCCTCGAGGGCAAAACAAAATTCGATGCGCTTGTGTAGATTATATAAACTTACTATATCGTATCGTATCATATACGAAGATATATACGATACGAATATAAAGTTTCAGAACTTTGAAAATTCTATAAAATAATGTGTTTTTTATTATTATTTTAAAATTAAAAATAATATAATTATATAAATATATAATTATGTATATAAAATTTATTGATTATTATTATAGATAAGATTGTATAAACATATAATGTTTATATAATCTTATCAGTAAAAAAGCCCTTTTAATCACATTTTCAAATATTTTAACGTCATATTTAATGTAATTGTAAGAAAAATATATAAATTTCCTATCGCTGTAGAATATTGCTTGCGTAATTTATTGTAGTCATATCGCACACTCGAGATTTTAAATTGAAGTTGTATGACCTAAAAGTATTTTAATTAATTTCAAATATTTGTCTAGAATGCGCTCAAAGAAAAGTATGAAGAAAGTTTGCTTTGGCACTTGATTACGAAAGCAGGGATATATACAACGCGATCAATTTTAACAATTTACGATGCTTTAGAAAATAAACGACGGAGAAGGAGAAGGATCAAACGCATGTTTCACGAGAGTGGAATACTTACTCCGATAGTGCAGAGGATTACATGTATATTTGTTACGTAATGTATGTTATTCTTCGCCGTGTAATATATGAGGTACGTCGTTACTGCTATGATCAGTGCATGATTAATCGCGTCGATTGCAGAAATAAATATACGTTGAACACTACATCCTAGTCTTCTGTTTTCGGAGTTTACGATACTTTCAGCAGAAACGTGTGGAAGTCTCGACGTAGATTCCTTCGATTGAATGATGAGCTCCATATTGTTTTTATCCGCCATTATCCTGAAAAATATACAATTTGTTATTGATACTATAATCACTTATCAATTTCTGGAATTTCTGCCGATTTGTACAGAACTTGGTCAGGTTTTCTATTTTTTGAACCTAATTTATATAGGCAAATTGTTATATATTAACTGTTATATATTAATTGTTATATATTATATATATTAACATAGAATACATATAATTATTATTGATGTAAACAAATATTTTACTATTAATATGCATTTATTTATAAAATTAAATATAAAAATGTATAAATATTATCTATTTATTAAGAATAAAACATTAAATTTTTTAGAAAAATTTTATACTTTTATGTTTTATTTGACTTATTATTGTTTAATCTCTCATAAAATGTATTTATGTGAAAATATTAATTCAAAATGTTAAATTAATTTGTAACAATTTGAGTTTTTTCTATAATCTAATTTTAATATAATTTTGATATAATTTTATATAATATTTTATGATTTTATAATTATTTTTAAAATTTTTAAAAATTTATTAAAATTAAATATTTATTATATATATTATTATAAATTTATTATATTGTTATATAAATAACTATTTTATTAAAATGATTACAAATAAAATAATATATATTTACATATATATTTTTCTCTCCGTATTAATTATAAGTACACACTTACGATATATCACTATCAATTTACAAGTTCGAATTGTTATCTATTCATATACTTAGAACTAATATACATATTGCGCAATGTTTACATGGAACAACTATGTTTAAAATATTTAAATGATAATATTATCGCAATTGACAAATGTTAATTGCCCTAATGTTATTTGCGGAAAATACGCTTTGAAAGCTGATTCATACTTATTTAATACGATACGCAGAATTATTTTTCCTTTATTATTATCTTTTTTCCTCTATTGGATTTTATTTAATTATATAATTTTTGTGACACATATTGTGGTGCTGTAAAAGTTAACGATTATATCTCCATGACATGTAAAAATACAACGTTAGATTGTGCTCAAATAGAAATATGATATAATGAGATATTTAATTTAAATGTGTGGTCTGATTCCAGATGAGGCAAATTCATTGTTTTTTTAATGGACAGGATATCTGTTTTGTACATGTGATTAATTTTTCTTAATATAATATATTCTTATATAAAAATTTAAATAAAATTCCAATTCTTCTTAGAAAAATCCTTCTTAGAAACTTACTTACGTATTTGTGTGAGCAACATACTATTAATTTAATTTTATAATCTATTATTTTTTAATTTAAATGTCTTTATTTCATTTGTTTTGGAATTTTAATTAATATCATCGATAACATTTTAAAAAATGAACATTAAATATGAATGAATCATATTAACTCAAGCAGTCAGAAGGATATTAAATACGTGTTATTATTAAAATTTCACTACACATATATTGCGAATATAAATACTGAAATATTAATTAAGCTTTAATAATGCAAATAACAATTGATATTATTTTTAACGCGTCTTAGTAAAATGATCAATTTATGCCATAGAATGCAATTTCACAAATTTAATTTAAAATATAGATGCTACCTATATAAATAAATTTGATATTTATGTAACTTATCAAATAAACAATTAAGCAATAATTAATTTATTTAATCAGCAAAAAATCAAATAATACAATACTATAATAATCGCATTTCGATAAATTTTATATGATTGTTAGAGAATTATATTTAATTTTTATTGAACAATCTTGCGAAAAATTTATTTATTATTTATTTATTATTTAATCTATTTATCAATTAACAACCAGAATTTCCCTATAAAATTTATCATTTATAATTATATTATGCTAAACAAAAATTTGTTTATGGATAATATAATACATATAAGTAATTATCTGAGTTTATTCTAACCAATTTAAGCTCTACAATTCTACTATTTTAAAAAATGAGTTGATTTTTAAAGCAAGCTCTAAAATTGAATAGCTTAAAAGCCTAAAAAAGAGAGAAACCAAAATCAATCTGTACGCGGAAAAAAGAAAATAGGCAGTTTGTCGAACGAGGGTGAATTTATTGTGCTTCTTTGATCTACTTATTCCAATTTGTTGTTCTTTAATTACAATAATCTTTATCTTTAATTAAATTTATTTTTAAACATATCTTCTTAATCCACGGTTTAAAGAATTTAATATTATAATAATTTTACACATATATTATTACCTCCATACTCCCTGTATCCAAAAATAATAACTAAATTTAATGGAATTTCCTCGTTTTTTTTTAAACAAAAGAACAAAAGATAAGATGTCAATAAAGTGAATAAAACATTGTAGAAACATTTTATATTATATAAAATACATTGCAAATTTATTATATAAATTGCAAATTGTACACATAAAATATATTATATATACATTTAAAAATAGAATACCCAAATAATACATTACAATTATGTAATGTATTATGTAATATATCGTATATACATTTAAAAACTACATAGTACCTATAATATATTTATTAAAACTCTTAAAATCATAGTATATCATAATATAAAATAACAAAATTTTTGTGAAAAAATTTTGAAAGTATAATACATATAAAAAAAATTTTTAAATTAATAATTTTTAATAAAATAATTCTTGAGATGCATGAATTAATACAAAAAACTTGCTTAACGATTTATTCTTTTTTTTAACCAAAAGATTAATTTTGAACTTAGTATAATGTACATATATTCTCTGTTCGATAACTATAATTGTCAAGAAAAATTTAAGTTTATAAATAAAATAAACTAATTCCCCTCTGTGTTTGATGAATAAATATCAAAGTTACAACATATCCACGATTTATTTTATCTGTTTAGTATGTGTATTTTACACATAGCTTATCATAATTTACTTTACACATAGCTTATCATAATTGACTTTCGTTTCAAAATTGCCTACGATGTATTTCAAACTTGTTTTTAAATCATTATTTCTTAAGAATAACATTCTTAACATTCTTAAGCGCGTAAATCATTTTGAAATATTAATTGAAGAAAAACTCATCAGTCTTTTGCAAAATACAATCGTAAATTTTTACAAGTAACTTGACATATTTCCGCTTAAAAAGATAAATTAAATAAAATTGAAAATGCAGATTTTTGTAAATTCGATAAATATTGTATAAAATATATTTATAGTATAAAATAAAAATTGATCACAATTTGTACACTTGCTTTGAATTACTGAAAATCAAACTTACAACTTGTTACCGAACATTTTATAACAATAATTATCATTAATTAATATTTTATGTAAAATTATATATACATTTATCACACATTAGCAAAAGGACAATTAATTTAAACCTAAAAAAAAGATGATGAAGACTTACATAAGTTAATGCCGCAAATGCATATGCAAAAATAGCGCTAACTATCTTGAGCGACGTACGACGATTGCCTACGAAAGGAAAACTACACGAGTGTGCGAATTTCTTCCTTATAATATATGCCGACGACGCGCGCGATTAAATGCGGACGGTGCGCGGGGGATCAGCAACGAGCCGAGAGATCGATGTCGGGGCCATTGGTCGTAAGATTGAGTTCGCGCTAGTCGAGGGAATCTTAAGTAAGTGCAAAAAATGCGGGATGTCCCGAGCGGGATTTTTGTCTACGACACATGACTGATAACTGCACGACGGTTGCCTCGCGTTACATTAATAAGACAAATGCGACACGTACTGGACATTATCGGATGTCTCCTGGAACGTGTTAACGGCGTCACGTTAATGACACTGACTTTTATCGCGATCACGTACACTTTATGTGCGCCCACTAGTGCAAGATGCAAATGAAACAGAGAGGGATTAAACCGACGCCACCGAGGATATAATCAGCTGGTCTAACTCGAATTCAAAGGCTCGCCTTTCTTGAATACCTTTGCAGATCTCTTGATGCTTTTTCGTGTTAACTGACCACCATCTCTCGAAATTACACAAATTTTCATATTTATCCGAATATAAGGATATTATATCTGCATCTTTGAGAACTCGCCAAATTATATATGTACTTCAACACAATAATGTCACAAATTAAAAAAGAATTATACACACACACATAGTATATCTATTTATTAAATATATATAATATATATGCATAGAAATAAGAATATATATTTTTAATTATGTATATTTAAAACATAATATGTTTTAAAATATGAAAATTTTTAAATATGAAGATTATATACTACCAATTTGTTTGCGCTCATAAGATATGATTAATAAATAGAATGATTATATTTATATTTCTTTTTCAGATAAGGAAGAAAATTTAAATCTTACAATAATATCTCTTCTTCTAGTTAAAAATTTTTATATTATATTAAATCGCTAAAATAGAAAGAAAATAATATAGAAACAAAAATAATATAGAAACTATTTTATAAAATATCTTATTAGTATATTCTTTTTTATGTTTCTTGATGCTGTTTTTACATACAAAATCTAAATTGAAAAAGCAGAGATAAAAGAAAATAAAACTAAGTTATAATAACAAATTTTAAATACAATTAAACAGTGAGAAAGGTCCATAAGATTAAAATAAAAAAATAATAAAGGAAGAATTATTTTTTCGAGAAATGAGATTAATCCAATTAATAATTTTAAAGGAACTTTAGTATCTAAGCTGTTGGAATTTCTTCGGAATTTTGCTTTTGAGGTGAGCAGTGCATTTCTTCGATGGATGTTGCGGACACAGAAAATCGGTTTTTTTGTTTATTTTTGTTCCATATCGATCTATTGAATTTAATGTTGCGCTCTTATTTAATTGAGTTTACCTAATTGTTTCGGTTGCGTGCGATTTTGATTTCAATCTTCTGAGACATTGTAAATATAGCTTTTCATATGTTTCGATGTGCTCCGAAGTAATGTATATTGACAGTTTCTTTTATCCTGACTTTGCAATTTTTATAACATCTTTTTGACATTGATAATGATTCGGAATGGATCGAAACAGCGTTTGTCATAAATAAATAAATAATTAGAGAGCTGATTATTATACTTAATATGTTAATAATTCTAACTCTCATAAATGACACCTTTTACTTTCGTTCTTGGTCCAAGAAGTCTTCCTTTATTGTTTTTTGATAACAAATTTTATTTAAAATTTCTATTATTAAAATATTTTTTAGTTTCATAGTTAATTATATGAAAATGCTAAGTATTTTATATATAAAACTCTAAATTTCTATCTAAGGAATGAAACGCGTATAGCATATGTTTACATAATAGATGTTTAAATATCTAAAAAATACGTTGTTAGACAATACATATTATTATAAAAATTTAATATAACAAATGTATAGACTTGCGGCAGTTCTTATTTTTTATAAAATATATTGAAATACTTACTTAAATTTAATGATAATAATTATTGTAATTCATTTTTGATATTATTATAGATATTATATTTTTATGTTAATGTGCAAATTATTGAATTATAAGTCATTACAATTTTTAATAGCTAAACTCAAGTATTGCGTATTTTAATAAAGAAAGAAGAAAAGAAAAAAAAATATGTCATGAGCCGCCAAACGAGATAACATTGATAATATCTTGCTGCAAATTATAATAAATTTATCACATCTATTTGAAGTGAAGTCATTCACGGACAAAATAATACGAAATCGCATCTGTTAATTCTCACGTAGCGATAACGTTTTTTCGATATCAATCATATGCTACTGCCCGCATGATCAATTTTATCGTTATATTAATGCTATTAAGATATGTCGTATGATAACGTTATCTTCTATTTTGTTCTATCTAATGTCTAGTGACCAGATACTGAGAATCAGTAATTTAGTTATATTTTATCTTATATAATTTTATTAATATATAATTTTAAATTTGTTAAGGAGAGAGTAACATCACGCTAAAACTCGAATATATCTGAGCAATTAATCAATTTTAAGCACGAACCATCTGAGATTCGCATCTTGTATTTATTTCTACTTTTAATGAGATTTTATTGATTCTTGTCATTTCATATATTTTCATTTCGTAATAAGTTTCAAATTATTGACTTTTTAATCGTAACACAATGTAAATACAAACTTTTTAAAGATATGTACATTAATTGTTTTCAATATTTATTTAATGCAATTCGATAGAAAGTAATATATGAAATTATGAATTTTGTGAAAGTTGAACGAATCAATTTTGCTTTTTATAGTCTCTTTTTACTTTTATAATACACATATATAATTAATTTTTTATTACTAAACGAAGAAATGAGAATTTGGCTTTTAAGAAGATTGTATTTTTATACTATGGGTACACATATATGTGTGTGCGTGCATGTGTGTACTATATATTTTATTTTACTAGTGTGTGTGTGTGTGTGTGTGTGTGTGTGTGTGTGTGTATACACACTAGTAAAATAAAATAGGAAACACTTTTTGAACTCTAAAAATTGGACTATGTTTAAACCGCTGGACTCGTCGAAAAATCATCGTAGAAAAAAAATTAAAAAAGCATTTTGAAACTTGATGTTTTAACTTTAACACGCAGTTGGTAGTTTAAAAAAATTTTTTTATTTTCCTTATTCTGAGTTTTACAAAAGGACATTGTTTTGTCCCTTAAAATTACGTATTTTTGATACTCTGAAGTTCGATAAAAAAATTTTAAATTAAAAAAGAAGCATTTTGTAGGAAAAATATTGTAATTTATGGAATTTAAATTGAATTTCTCGAGAAAATTTTTAGGATTCAAAAAGTGTTTCCTATCTCTTTTTACAAATGAATATGTACACACACACATACGCGCGCGCGCGCGCGCGCGCGCACACACACACACACACACACACACACACATATATATATATGTATCCATAGTATAAAAATACAATCTTCTCAAAAGCCAAACTCTCAATTCTTCTTTTAATAATAAAAATAATTAATTGTATAATTATGTATTAAAAAAAGAAAGAGTGTAAAACGGAAAATATATGTAATGGCTTTATTTTTTATCATTTCATATCATTGATGAAATCCATATATATATATATATATATATATATATATATATATATATATATAGCGTGCATGTGCTCTCTCTCTCTTTCTCTCTCAATCTTTAATAATAGCTTTTATTGAATTTGAGGTTGATTTCTATATGAGAAATAGTTCATCAAAATTTTAAAATCTATATGTTGTTTCATTATCTACTTACTAGCTAGAAATTTTTCAACTTTCAAAATTATTATTATTAAATTAGTTTATCTTCATGTTTATGAATATGTGAATATGTAAATAAATTTCAATACATACATTCTATATGCATATAACATATATGCACATGCATAATATATATACACTATATACGGATATATAATGTTATTATATTTATAAATATTTCTACATATAATGACACAATTACATATTATGTTATGGTTAATTAAAATATATATTATTTATTCATTTATTAGAAAAATATTAAATATAGCAATAATAAGTAATAATAAACATAGCGTTAATCTTTTTTATATTTTTTATATTAAGTAACAAAAACGCATCAAGCAATATTTATAGTTATTATATATTATAATGCGAGAATGAGTTACACCAACTTAATTATATTAGTTATTATACGTAATCTTGCAGAATTAAACTAATAATATTGTTATAGTGATACTGTATTCTATTTGAAATAAAATTCATTTCAATATTAATGTTGAATTGTATAAATTATATTTGATTTTTAATATATTATAGATCAAGAATAAAAATCTTTATATCTTTTTTGTTAGAAAAGTTATAAATAAGTATGTAAAAATAAAACCTTATTTTTCTTCACTTCATTTCAACTAAATTAACTTTAACGTAAAATCTTTCTAAACTTTATTACAAAATATTCAATATTATTCATTGCAGTGAATTACAGTAAATGATCATTTCATTCTTCTTTTTCAAAAAAATTTAGTTCTCGTTTTATATAAGAAATCTGCATTTAATTTCTCATCTTCATTACGTTACTAATCATCTTGCATAGATGTGACGCTTTCAACATTCATATGAACTATGATTTTTACATGTTAAATTTAATTTTCTCTTATGTATTCTGGAAAATTAAAATAAAACTATTTTAAAAAATTTCACAAAAGAAATATCTTTGTAATTTTACTAGTTTGTAAGATTTCATTTCATGCATCCTTACTAGATAGTTAATTCAGTAACTGTAACATATACATAGTTACAGAGAGCTTTCTTTAGAATTACATCCTTTCCTTTATTCGTTTTTAATTACTTGAAAAGACGATTGAGATCTTCAAAGAATATGTCAATAGAAAAAAAACACAAATCTTATATTAAGTTTTTATCAACTTAATAAAGTATTAATTATTATATTAAAATGTAAAATGGAGCGAAAAGAAAATAACAAAATAAATCATGATAATGTCGTTATCTTAATGATATTCACTTGGATTAGCATATTTATTACTCTTTCTCTCTCTCCCCATAAATTTAATTTTACCTGTTGCTGATTTTTGGAAACAAGCATATTCGGACAGAATTTTTTTATTATTTCTACATAATTTCTTCATTTTATTCCAAACAGATATTAAAAATCAAAAAATAAAAAGAATATTTAGACTTGTTATTTAAATATATATTCTTAATTCTTTAATAAAACTTGTATAACTTTTTATACAATCTATTTTATAAAATACATTATGTGTATATCTGAATACTTGTAATAGTTTTGATTTTTCATTAAACTTTCTAATATTAAAATTAATATAATTAAAAATTAAATCAAAATTGATAAATCAGAGATACAGCGCGGTAGTTGGAACACAAAAAACATTTTCTTCTTTCCTATATATATTGTGATGTAATTTTTCTAATCCTCGGGTGGTGAAGAGGATGAGAAAAATAATACGTCGTAAAAATTTGACGCCCAACGTGGGGGCCACGCGATTGAAAAAAAGGCGAGACATTGGAAATAAGGGCAATCAAATGTTGGAAAGTTTAATTGGGGAGCTTATACGAAGTGAATTATTTTGTGAACTATCTTCCGAAGCAACTATTGTAACGGTGTATTCGATAGATCGTGCACGATCACGGCCTATGTAATTAAAATAGAAAATGTGATGATTGACAATGAATTTATAAATAACAACACATTAAGACCAAGTTATAATGAGTTGTACACATTTTTTGTACAATTAGTCATACATAGTCTTCACACATATTCAAATTTATATAAAAAAATATATAAAAGACTCTTATATACAGATCTAAAATAATTTATTTAAATGAAAATAAGTTTCCAATCGACGAAATAGTTTTTTTTTCTTGAGGATTCACATGGTGTTTCAGCACGCTCAGAAGTTTTTGGTATAAGAATGATAGCCTATCCATAAAAAACATAAAATAGTTTACTATTTTTTCTTTCATGTTATACTTAATTCCAATAAGAGAATATATTTGATAAATATACAATTTCGAAACATCATTGGTAATTGAATACAAAAACTCAAAACACATGCTGAATCTCTTATTTTTTGAAGTAAAATTTAAGAAAACTTGGAAAATCTTTTTTTTTATCCATAATGTTTTAAATGCTGAATTACCTGCTAGCTGGTTTGCATATTGATAAATGATCCTGTGGAATTTCGAAGAATTCCCCTATGCCAGGGTCTGGACATAATATGAATTCGTTAATATAGACATATTAGCTGCTCTGATGATAAGAGTTTAGATTTAACACCATTAATTAAAATTTAATCAAATATGAAAAATTTAATATATGTTATGTATTAATTATATAATATGTTATTAAAATGTATTAATAATTACCTGCCGAATTAAGGCTGACGAATTGGAAGGGAAATTTTAGCGTGGTTACAAGCGTAGGTTTGGTCTCCGCAAAACTTACAATCTCTATGTGATATTCTTTCAACATTTCTAGAAATTCGTCATGCAATCTTAGCAATTGTGGTGATTCTGAAACGTTAGAATAGAATATTAGTTATTTATTAATAAGATGGATCAAGAAGATTACCTTCACGCAGTTCTTGAACTTCAACTGTTGGCCATATCAACATTTGCGTCATTTGTTTCAGAGCTGCTACATGAGAACCTCGATGAGGAGTACCATAAAATAGAATAGCTTTGGTATTCTTGCAAATATCATGTTTATCTCCACTTTTCCATTCTATAAGCAATATGCTTGTAATAATATTAACAATGTTAACAATAACAATAGCAATATAATAATAGTTGCTTAATATACAGGATGTTTTAAAACTGTCCATTCGTTTATTTCACGATTGAAAATGTTTGTTCAGAATTTGAGAATTGTTTATATTATTGTTTAGAAAACAATGGAGAACGTTTTGACATTTGTTATAATAAATGACAAAATAAATTCTACTCCAAATTGTATCTTTTTATGTAAAACATTTGTCACCTAAAACTTCCAAGTGCGATTTTTCAAAAAATATTCATTTAAATAATAATAACACTAATAATAATAATAATAATAATAATAATAATAATAATAATAATAATAAAAGAGAGAAGGGAAAGAAAGAGAGGGACAAGAGCGGGAAGGAGGAGAAAGAGAAAATTGTACAGAGAATCAAAAAAACCTTTAAAATGATACTTGACCACTATTGCCATTTAAGATTTTTGAAGGGATAGCTATCCTTTCAAAACGAAGAGGATGAAAAAATTTCATTACATTTAATGTATTTAAATATCTCTAGTACAGTAAAATAGTACCTGAAAATGGCAAAACGGATAGACAAGCCAATTTTTTGAGGGTGAGTAGAAGGTCATAGCAGATGCCCGAATTCACAAAGTTCCAACAAAATTTCCCTGTGCGTTCTGCGAATTTTTTCCTTTTTTTAAATTTTGTAGGGAAAAATATTTGCTACCACTTTTATTTGAAAAATTTTGTAACTTGTATAGCTATCAAGGAAAAAAAATTACAACCAAAAAAGTGCCGTCAAAAAGGGTTGAATATTTTTATTGAGAATTATATGCTTTCTGTTAATTTTATACTTATTTTAAAGATGGCCGCTGACGCATAAGGAAATTTTGTTGAAACTTTGTGAATTCGGGCATCTTCTACGACCTACTCACTCTCAAAAAATTGGCATGTCTATCCGTTTTGTAGATATTCGGTGTTTTACTATTTTACTGTACTACCCCTCAAAAACAAAATTGACATAGTTTGGCATTTTTCTCAAAAAAATAGTCAATTATGAAATAAACGGGTGGAAAGTTTTAAAATGAACACATTGTATACATTGAAACATATAAAAATATATATAAATTAAATTTACCTTCTACAAGCATCTTTTTAACTAATAATCCTCCCATTGAATGGCCGACCCATACAAGCGGCCGCTTTCCCACATTTGCCATTGTTAATTTGATAACGAATTCTTCGCTCCTCTCTTTAATAGTGTTCCTAATCAAATGTATTAAATAATGTATTAAGTATAATTATCAATACATTCAATATTTAAAAAAAACTGAAAGATTAAATATTTCTATGTAGCAATAAATGAAATAAACAAATAAATAAATAAATATATATATATATATATATATATATATATATATATACACACACACACACACACTTACTTCTTATTTTCTATTGGGCAAAAAGGAGTCCACATAGATAAACTTGTATCATAATTAATACCTATGAGTCGTAAATATGGTATATCCATAGGTAACCAATCTTTGGGCCAACATAGTGTTTTAGATGTAGAATGGAACTCATTCTTCATGCAGGCATTATCTCTAAAAATATGTGTAAAAATTCACCATTAATTAAAGACAGACTATTTATAATAATTATTATTTACAAGCACATCTTTCATTTGTATTATTTTATAAAAGATTCTGTAAAAGATAAAGATATGTAAAAAAATTTACCCTTTGCAAAAGTAAGGTCCGCATGCTTGAGCATTTGTGTTTTGTGGACAATCATCCAGTACTACTTCAAAATTTTGACCTATTTTTCTCCATTCATGTAAGTACAGATCGTGAGCTAAGTCTTTAAAGAATTCCTGAGAATGATCATTGTCGATCACGGTAGATAAATAATCCATCTGATTTAATGTATTGGAATCTATAATTAAAAATGTGTAATTTGTCAAAAATATAAACATAATCTTTATATTACAATATATGAAAAAAAATTCGAAAAATTATATGGTTGCAAATATTGACAAACCTATAATTTCAAGTGCAGAAGTATCTACATCGCGTTGTCTCCAGGTAACGAAAACTCCACCTAACAGTCCATGCAAAAACACAACATCCATCTTTGTAGCTGCATGAACTTTATGTACCGGATGAAGAAGATAAACATTCTGCGGATATTTTGCTCCTTCGTTTCCATTCGTATCCAAATTCGCTAATGCACTAATCGCCTGTGCTGACAGACGAATATCATCACTGCGGGACCAACGTGACAATATGCCGATCCATCCTTATTAAAAATAATTATGTCATGTATCATGTCTTTTGTATACAAACGCAATAAAATCGCAGACAGTTTCACTGAATCTATCTTACCAGATTCATAAATACTGTTTAGAAACTCGGGATGAAGAGATATATTGGATAATATTTTCGCGAGTAATATGCAAACTTCAATGTCATCGTTACAAATTTTCTGTATTGCTGTTAATATCGGCAAAGCTCCGGCAGTGATCAAGTCTAAAATTTAAAAACCAAATAAAATACATAGAATAAACAATCTATGAAATTAATGATATATATGATATATAATTTTTATATCTCACGTTTGCTATATTCTTCCACAGATGAATGGTGACAGATTGCTTGAATACAATTTTTAAGCAATTCATTATCCCAGACAATTGTTGAGTCTGCCAAAAGGCCTACGCTTGTCAAATCATGATCAAACCATTCTACAAGATACTGTACATCAAATTGAATACATAGTTATGGATGATATTACTAAGCTATAATCACAATACTGTAACATTGTTTTAAAGATCACTTTCTTAATATTCATTGTAATATTTCTCCTTAATTATATTCAGTCATAATAATATCTCTCCTGATATTCTTAATACCCTTTATTTCTTAATATTAAATGCAATATCCTTACTCAATTATAATAATTATTTTTTGTAAATATTTAGAACTTGAAAGATACTGTGCAATTAATTATATGTTCATATATTTTTTAAATACATATTTATGTACTTACTCGATGTGAATCTTTGAATTTTTTACTAAGAAATTGTGTAAGACAGAGATGTGCATTATCACATAAAGTATTCAAATGTAACAGCAATGAGTATACTTGTTCTAATATATCCTGCAAGACAATTTTGTCATGTTTATCATTAATATAATTGTCATATATAATGTTTATGTATCTTTCATAAAATATTTAAAAGTTTTAAATGAGTGTTACATACATGTAAGTTATATTGTATATGATAATATGGTGGTTGTAAAAAGAACTGTAGATTAACATTTGACATTCTTGCAAGAGCTACTGCTGTTCTAGCATCCAACATCTGTGCTAAATGACGATATTGCCAATCTAAAGTCAATTCAATATAATATAAATATTATACACGCATATACACAAATCTCTAATATCTATATAAGAAAAATTATCTTAATATTTAAAGAAAGCTATAATTGACATCAGAATATAACAATTAATAAACTTACCTTTCAAATTTGATAGGGAACTAAGAGCAGTTACAGCTTTGAATCGTTCAGTTTTGTCCCCATGTTGAGCCATATATAATAATTTGTATGCTATTTTATGATTTTTTATCTTCCACCAGTTTGTGAATATATCAGTAAAACTTTGTGGCTTCTCCAAAGCCGATCTCTGTAAATCCTCATCTTTTTTGAACATAAACACATCTGGGAACACGATCCAAATTAAATATTTGTATATTGTTATATTTATCAAAATTATAATCATATTGTAAAATTACCTTTAAATCGAGGATCGTCGATATAAATATATTGTGCATGTGTTTGTTCTAAGTTTAGCACATTTATATTGACAGTGGATCGAACGATCTGTGATACTTGTCGCACTTGATATAGGAACCAGCAACTTCTGTATAAGTAATGCGTAAATTTTCTCTAAGTATGTTATATATATTCCCAAACATAATTATGATTTTTATCTCGTCAAATTTTCAATTTTCTTCCAACTTACCCTAGTATCACAACGCAAGTACCACTTGTTTTCAAATAATACACGTAGTTTTTTAATTTTTGTACTCGCATTTTACACGACATAAACTCCTAATACATTCTTAACAAAACTGAACAAGATAAAACGTATGCAAATTCCGTTGTAATACGATAGACTTATATTTTATACTCCTACATACTCCTTGATGCTTTGAAGTGTCAACATAAGCTGATGCAATGTTCCGATCAGGGATTCCGTGTGCGCGCATATGCGGTTCTGCGCATGCGTGACTTTTGAAATTACATTGTACTTTCACGGTCGCGCAAGTGCAGAGCCGCACATGCGCGCGCACGGAATCCCTAATCGGAACCATAGACGTATATAACTAGACTGCGCATGCTGTGCTAGCCATTGAAGCAAACATTTAAAAAGAGAAAGCAATATCGGGGGATCTCTGTCTCACTCTAAATCACACCGTGGAGGGGGAAGTGAACTCTTTTCCCCTCAAGACTTCAACTCTCATTCTGCTTCCCCCACTTTTCTTACTGTGCGAGAGAGAAAGAGATCCTCCGAGCCATTTTCTATCTCACTTCATTGCTTCAACGGCCAGCATAGCATGCGCAGTCTATGTATATATGTCTATGATCGGAACACTGAGCTTATGGCAGAGAACTAAGGTGCAATTTCATTGACGCTAAAAAGTAGCGTCAACCATTGGTTGAACAATGAAACAACTACTTACTTCTTTGTTCAATCAATGGTTGACGCTACTTTTTAGCGTCAATGAAATTGCACCTCTAGACGTGAGCGCTTACGTCTGTCGTAGTCGTGGACGTAAAGTAAGACAGAGAAAAACGTATGTCGTACAAGACCATTGTCACAATGGTATGTACGACATACGTTTTTCTCTGCCTTACTTTACGTCCACGACTACGACAGACATCTAGTTCTCTACCATCAGCCATACCAGAGAAAAGACTGAGAGGTGTCATGACCGGCTTTTAGGTGATCCCTGAAAGCGATACGCCCTCTGTTAATCTAAAAAACGTGGACATGAACTACAAAGCCAAAGTCCACCAAAGTTCTCAGAGAGTAACATATATGTGCACAATTTCTGATTCTGTTCCGTGCTATGTAAAAAATGCCTGTAGTACACGAAATGTCTATGTACACGAAATGCCATCAGTGCTGTATAGCAAAACGCATATGTATATAAATATAAATAAAATTTAATTTTAATTTTTTAAATAAATTTTGTGGTCCTCTCTCTCTTCCTTTCTCTCTCTCTCTCTCTCTACACATACACAAATAAACACACACACATATAATATATATGTGTATATAGTATAACGCTACAACTTTATTCTGAAATATCTGCGTTTAGAATGTTTAGAAAAAAAAAAAAAATATATATATATATATATATATATATATATATATTCAATTTAAAACATTACATGAAATACACGCGCTGGAATTACATATATATATTCTATGTGTACATAAATACAGATATATTATCTCTTTTCGAAAGATATGTTAACATTGAAAAATTTAAATATAATATATATTTAATTAATTGATTCATATCTATTTATGTCGTATCACAAAGTAAGAAGTTAAAATTTGACTTCAATCCCGAAAAATACTGTGATCTTTCAATGTAATGTTCAAAGATAAAATAAATATTTTTCTATACATTCAATGTCATATTTATATATTTTTATTTACAAAAAAACAAAATGTCTGTTGTGAAATACAAACCTTTTTAACCGTATTTCTATAAATCTTTTTAATTAGCAGTAAAATGATCTTTGATTTTTATCAATCATTTTTTTTAATTATTTAAAAATGTAATTATTAATACATGTATAAAATTTGTTAAAGTAATTACTGATTCTTCTGAAGCTTTTATAATTAAGATTCGAAAAATATAGATGTTGCAAAATATTTTAAATATCTCTTCCTTTATATAAAATATAAAGAATTCATATGTTCTATTCTAATATAGTCAACATTATTTGTATACTTTTATTATAATTTTCTTACCAGCATAATATTTTTATGCTTAATATTTTATATAATATAATGTACTAAATTATAAAATTTAATATAATTACAAAATAGTATTATTATTAATAAATAGATTGCACACTGTCTTTTAGTTTCTAATTATTTTCAATCATTATGCATTTTTATCCAATATATTCTCTTCTTCGAGTTCTTGGATTATTATGATTTATTGTATTCCTTTGTGTTAAAATTATAAAAATTATCATCATTTGTCATTCCTTCCTATGGAGTCCATCGAAATACTTTCTATGGACATTTGTTCTCAGGTATAGATATTCAAATCACTGTAGTTGCCTTTTTCTCGATTATTGACCCTTTTTCTTTCATTTTATTTAAAAATATTAATATAATTAATATAACAAATATTTATATAATTTTGGTATTTCTCTTAGTCTGACACTTCCCCTTCGACTTGTCCGGCATAGATGACTCTCAATAACTACGATCGGTATTCATAATTCACTTTTATATTTAAGATCATACTTAAAATTATCTTAAATATAAGAAAAGTCTATACGAATATCGATGTATGTTACCGCCGGCATAGTTCTCAGGCTCATTAAAATACTCAAACCTCCTCAGCCGGCAAATGCCTTCCTTAAGATGGAGATATCATCGAGAAGGCAAAATTTTTCATTTTCTTTCAATACAGAATTTAATACAAAAAGTTAATGTAAAATATAATATTATATAATTTGAAATGTAATACAAAATAAATTAACAATATTTTTTTTTTACGTGGGGAAAAAAAACTCTCTTAAAAAACACTCAAAAAATATTGAACCGTAAAAAATTCTTAATATTAATAATATAATTATTGAAATATTTATTAATTATTTTCCCTAATATTATTTAAACTTACATTTCCTGGTTCCTTAAAAGATACATAATGTAAAATCAGCTAAATTAATCACATAATAGCCCTAACAATCCTCTACTTTTTGAATGGAAAATTAAAAAATCTTAATGATCACCTAATAGCCCTAACAATCCTATTTCTCGATTAAGTGAAATTATTCGAGGAAAGCCTATCTCTAATCACGTATATTTTAATTACGTGCCCTAATTACATTCTCTAACCGCATGCCCTAACCGCGTGAATAAATGTCCGACATTACGTACTATTGTACGTAAAGCTTTTCTTCAGGCCAGTTGAACTTACTTTTCGTTGATTCTGACCACTTTCTCGCTCTCTAATCAGAGATCGAAAAAGGAGATAAACACTCCTTCTTTTGCCGATTAATTACCGGCAAATGAGCGTAAATATTTCACGCTCATCGTAACGATCGTTTCTTAAATATTTGAATATAACTTTATTTTAACTCAAATAAAGCCAAATTACTACAAATTTCTATATACTATATTTTCTAATAAAATATAAAATTCATGTATGTGTATAACTTTTATGATATTACAAATTATTTAATTAATTAATCGTTTGGCTTTATTTTAAGTTAAAGTAAAATTTAAAAACAATATCTACAAACAAATTCTACAATGGATGAGCTGTGATATAAGAAATTAGAATAAAATAAGTGCGCGTTATAAGACTAAAGTAGTATCAAAAATTGATAAAATTGTTAAAATTATTAATGCGTGCTCTTGATTTAATAAACTAGTCAAGTCTTTACAAAAAAAATTTTCTTTTCTTGATTCTCTTTTTTAAATTAATACTTCAATATATTTTCGCAATAGATGCAAAGTATTTCGAACGAATTTATTAAAAGTTATTTAATTTAATCTATCCTAGCTCATCCATTTTAAGGCAACGGACTTACTCTACAATTCACAATCTACAATCTACAATCTACAATCTACATCTACAATCTCTACGAATCCGTTACCTTAAAGTTAAATAAAAGTTTTTCTCACTCACCGGCACTGATGCGCAACAGCGGAGTTGTTGTTATCGAAGCTAGTTGTCTGTAACATACAAATATAAAATTCATTTATATTAATGCTCACAAAATGCAATCAAAATTTCAAAAAATTTTTATCGCGCGGAATTTTATATCCGATGTGTAAAATAATAAGCAGAGATAAACACGTGTGGAAAATTTTTATAAAATTTTAAAACTGTTTTTTAAGAAAGTTTTTTAAAAAGTTTTATATAACTTTTATAAAAATCTTTCTCTCTAATTTTCTCTTTAATTCATTTAAATAATAAGATCGAATTATTATGCGTACGATTTATAACAACTAATATACAAATAATAAATATTCACCATCAGGTTGCTCCGCCGATGCAAGATGCCTCTCCCAGGCCTTCTCCTCCTCTCATGTTGTTGACGCGCGATACTTTCAACGGAACTCCCGCACTCACGAGCGATATTTTTATATCGCTATTTTCGTTATTTTACGCGCGATACTAAACGGCACTCCCGCACTACTTCGGTATTCGGATTAAAAATTTTGTCGCGCGATGTATATATTTAATATATATATACTTTCAACGACACTCCCGGTTTCGGTACGAGCGAAAATCTCATTTCATTTACGAGACTTAACTTTGAGCCAACAGGTCGGGAGTGCAACGATACAACGAGCAAAGATTAGGCCCGAACCGGAAAGAAGACGAAACGATTGAGGAATAGAGGAAAATAAAGTTCACCAGCTCTTTTTCGCGCATAATTATCCTATCTCGTATCGAACCTGGACCCGCTAAGCATGATTTCAGGTGCTTCGCCCGGAACACGAAGTTTCCCGCAATGCAGGATATGGCTACACCAGGCTGGTAGACGGTAAAAGAAAAGGATACCCACATTTTTTAAATGCTAACATTCAGCAATTTAAAAAATGGGGAGGCAACCCCTTTTACCGAGCGAAAATCATGCTTAGGGGAATCCACTCGACTCCTCGACAGGGTTAACACACGCAGTGCGTGTGGCTGTAGGGTAGACGAGCAAAGAAAAGGGACCCATTGACGACCATTCCGAGCAATCGATCGAGTTCTAACTAATTCGGGCCGAATCATTTGACGAAGTACGAAGCACGAAGCGCGAGTGTATAACAACGTGTGCAAACTCGAAACATCCCAGTTAGTTGGCATCGGAAGTAGAGACTCGTGACAATAAATGAAATTGGGATTTTATATGAAAAAGTCCAAAATTTCCGCGAAAACGCGACGACGCGAGAATACTACAACG